GCCTATTTGAAGGTTCTGAGGTACATTTTTGTTGTTCTAGCTGTGTTATTTGCCTTATTTCTGCTAGGCTGGTACATGGAGTTTTATTACAATTTCTTTCAAATAATGCCTACATTATATACAATTGACATAGGTGAAATAGATGTAGAGTTACTAAAAGTAACAGAAATGTAAATAGCAATAGTATAAAAAGATAGCTACTACTGAGTTCCATTTCTAAAGGGTAATTGCATTTCCAAAATAATTAGCCTAATAAAAGTGTGGTTGTATCCCGAAATATTTTTTAAATATAAATTTTATCTCTAGACTTTCATCTACCCCTGTTTCCAGCTGAAATAGTGCAACATAGAAGTTGATTAGAATTCTCTAACAGTGAACCTATAGGTTGAATCCTGTTGTTATATTCTATTTTATTGAATAGTAAAATGATGAACAGCACAGGTAATACCGAATAGAGCAATATTCCTTTATTTAATTTTGCAATTTAAAGTTAAGAACATTTTGGTTAATGGAAGGTGAAGATGGCATTAAAGAAGTTATTATTTATCGGTGATTTATACAGCAATGAGATTGTATTGTAAAGCACTGAGTTAGAAAAATTGACATGATAAGTCTCCTTAACTCTCAGACATTGGAGAATTGTCCTTGGTTCTTGTTGAATAATACATATTGGCTGATAAAAACAAGGTACAAAGTGTGTATAGATTCATTTAGAGCTCTCAGGTGGGAAAATCTGAGTAGGTTTTCAATGAAGAGTCTATATTATCCCTTGGTAACTGAGAACATTACATATGAAAACTATGGCATTTAAAATGAGTAATCTTATATCCAGACAGTGTTGGCTGACAATGCCATATTCTCCTTTTTGAGCTAATCATAGTCTTTAATTACCAGATATCTTTTTTTAATGGCAGCCATTTCTCAGATCCTCTAGTTAGGTGTTTGCCTGGTAGTGATGAAAATTTAGCAAATTCCTATTAGTGATATGGTGATGTTTCGTTGCCCAAATACTAGAATAAGGAAAAAATCCACCCCTTGTTGGTCACACTGTGTCACCTTTTGGAAGATAACTCATCTAGTAGACTGTAAATTCCACTTTTATGTTTATATTTGTAATCTGCCATTCAGACCAATGGGACAGTGTAGTCCGTAAACAGTAGTAACTGAATGCCAGGTTATTTCAGATTATAGGATGAATAAGACATTCAGGCTGTAATTTTGCTTTCTAGGTATGGTTATCTAAGACTTTATATGGCTACTATCACTGGAGAAGCAAAAATTTTCATGTGATCCCATGACAAAAAAATATCCACAATCGCTCTTATCCAAGTGCCTGTGAGGACTTATTAGATCTTTCATTTGTTAATGTAAGTGCTGTTGTTTTATTCTGACAAACCTAATCAACACATTAATCCAATAACTAAAAAACCAATTATTTTTCATAAAATCGTACATAAAGTGTTTATTAGGCTGCATCACCTATTATCTAGCATGGAGGCACTGTTGTTTTACCGGAAAAGGAGGCATATATTTGTAACAGTAGTTTAATCTGTTTTCAAAACACACCAATATAAAGGATAGTGAAAGTCTGAAGATGATGAGAGTTGCTAAAGCTCAGAATGCCAAAACTTTCAGTGCTGAAAATGCCTCTAACTCTTCAGGTGTGCCACATGAAGTTGCCTACCAGAATGAAACCAATGACAAGACATATTTTCAGTATTTTATTCCAATTTTTATTATTTCTTTAAATGCTACGCTCTTTGATTATGGCAACAGCTGTTGGCAGTACTGTACAATATGTGTCTGCACATTATGTGTTCTCTCACATTATGTTCTTCAGAGAGTGAGACTTGGATTTATTTTTATTTAAAACTGAAGAAAGGATTTTATAGGAGGTTCAATAACTGGAGTTCTTATAGAGTCACCTTAGGGAAGGCTCACAGTTCAAATGCACCAGGCAATGTCAAGGGAAGTGTAGGTTCTTCCCTCTTTCTCTTTCCTCGGTGATGTGGAGATATTTTTAAACAAGAATAAGTGACAGACAATCGTGTGTATTTTACAGCTTGCTCACTCATTAGTTAAACATGGGCCACACAGTAATACTGTGGTATGAACTGCAGTCAACTAAGGATTGTCTCTACCAGAAAAACTGATAGATTTATCGAAGATGCAAGCTTCAGTCTGACCCTGTCTGTTTCCTTCCTTCATCTCTCATTTTGTACATGAATATACATATAGATATATAAATATATATATACATACACATGCACACAAACACACACACACATACTATGTTGCCCCAGGCCAAAAGCTGAAATGAAATTACACTAAGGTAGGGATATGGGCTCTGGGCAATATTAAAAAAAAACACCTGTGTGTGCCTGTGAAATCTCCCCTTTTCCTGTGGGATCTGGGGAATGCCAAGTGACTGAAAGATAACATTTAGTCTTTGCTGGCCCAAGTGCCCTCCTCTGAGCTTGATGCCAGAGTTCTGCATAATGCAGTTCTGCTCCTCCCTGCTGACCCTCCTTTGTCCCTTCTCTTTCCTGTCACCCTCTGTCTTGCTGCCAACAAAAATGTCTAATGATCTGAAAAATAATCTGAACTAGCTCTTTCCATCTGGATCTGTTCCGTGATGTGTCTCCCAGTCTGACCACACACAGCTGTGCTGCTGTGGGCGTACAAGAGGGAACGATTTCAGCTGGGCAAAGTCGATCTGCCACTGTCTGTGAGACCACAGCTGCAGCCATTTCTACCATTTTTCTCCTTAATGTCTGTCCAGCAATTAACCTAACCATCAGCTACTGGCATCACGTCTCCTGTCACTCTTGACATCCACAGATTCCTCTGGGAGTCGGGAAGCAGAAGCAGAGGCAGAATTAGGCCACCCCTAATTAGGTGTGCTCTGTGAAGGAAGCTTTCCAACTGGAGTACAAGCAGGAAGGTTTGTGCAGGACAGAGAATATTAAGGCTGTGCTATTCCACATCATGAGCAGCAACATTTTGTCCCTCACTGTCTCCTGGGCTGGTGGCTTCCCACGCTGGATATGGGCTGGAAAAGCCGGCGCTGCCTCAGCTCTGTCTACACCTGCTTTGTCCCGTATGCAGTTTGAAATTTTATGGTCCCCGTCAACATGTTTGAGACATGGCCAGTTCTGGATCTTACACCTTCAGACAGTTCCTTCTCTCTATGCCATGTGAGGTGGAGGATCCCCAGTGTGAAGGATGAGAACCACACAGTGAGCAAAGTGACAACATGTCTCGTCTGGTCAAGACCGATGTACAGATCTCCCAGCTAGCCCTGACCCAAGCTGATAAAGGCTGCTGTGCCTATTTTTCACCCTGGGATTATCAGCCTGGGGCTGAGCCCAAGCTATGCATTCCTGCTTCCTTTTTTGATGTGCAAGACACCCGGTTGTGAACAGTCCCCCTAAAATAAATTCATCATGTGAGACCTTTCCAGACCTGGCAGCTGAACACCCCACTTACCCTGCCATACCTCTCCTGTTCCCCTGTGTCCTGCACACATCCTGTGCTGGTGGCTGCAGGGAGCAGTGGGGCTGGGCCCTCCTGGGGTGGCAGAAAGCTGCTGTTTGTCATTCTCCAAGCTTGGTTGCTGTGCTGGAGCCAGCTGGTGAGACCAGCCTGCATTTCACCTCCCAGAAGCCCAACTGCAGCAGGAGCCCTCACTGATTCATCAGTCTGGAGTCACTGCTAAATCTGAGGTGACCCAAGAAAACTTCAGAACCCCTTTGGGGACTAGTTGGCAGCTGAATAGCAGCCTTGAACATGCTGTTAGCATATAAATGACAGTCTTAGGTGAGCAAAATGATCAGTTGATATCAAAGTGTCTTTAAGGATAAGTTCTCACTTCTTCCTGGTGAAGGCCAAGAGTCAAAGGTGGAAATTCTGCCGTGGAAGAACAGATAGAGCCAGAGACTGCCCACAGGGAACACCTATTGGCTCACAGAGGGACGTAAAATATATTTTCCCCACCTGCTCAGTTTCCTCCAAGTCAGTGAAATTAGAATCTGACCATTTTTTCCCGGTAACCTTTGAAAAGGAGTCAGGCTTGCCAAAAACCTCTGCTGGAACACCAAAGGAAAAGGAAGCAAGTTGTAACACATGTTTTGGATCAAACAGTAACATTCTGTTGCACACATCTAAAACACAGTGGAGGGAACACAGTGCTGCTTTGGAGTGTGCCTAGCGACATGAATCACGATATTAGCTCAATATTTGCCCAAAGAGTATAAATCACCAGGATTCAGGCAGCCTAACTTTGTTTATAGGAGCTGCACAAGGAAATGAGTATGCTGCAGCCTTGTTTCTCCTAACTGTTCAATTCTGAGGCTTTCCCTATACACCAAGTAATTTTTGGTGTTCTTTTCCTTCTTTTCGAAGAAGAAAATTGCATAAATAACACTTGCAATAATGAAAGAAACTGCACCTCAGAGAGAGCAGAACATTGGCAGCATAACTAAATTTGACATTATCATAGATTTGGGTTTGCAGCATTGACAGTAATAAGCAATGGATCTATTTCATGTGAATTTAGCATGAGACATCAAAAATAGTGTTGGTTGGTGCCTGGTAAAGCTGTCTCAAGAAGAGTTTGGTCAGTCTAGTGAAGATCATGTGGAGTTTTGTGAGTCAGTTGATTAACTGAAAAGTGAAGTGGGTCAACAGGTTGTTGGCTTTGTGGTATTGGGAGAAGAAGGTGAGGGGTTTCTGTTGCCTGTGTGAAGGCCCTCTGGTAACTCGTGACCCTCCTGGACACTTCAAAGCAAATCTGAGGAGATGCAGGGTTTCCAGCAATCTGAATTTATCAGTCCCACCTGGCAGGTGGGTAAAGGACAGAGGTTTTCTTCATGACTTATCTGAACAAATTAGTGCTCAGTGTCGGTTTTGGCAGCCCCCCAGCTGGCCAGGTGGCAGGCACCTTCTGGCAGACCAGCCCTCCAATCTGTGCTTCCACCCCAGTCCCAGTGCTGTCACCTGCCCAAATGGCAAGATGGAAAAGGGCAGCAAGGCCATGGAGGAGAAATGAGTGGAGTCACCAGAAAGCCTGGGAGATGTGAAGGTAACTGGAGGTGTTGTGAGGCAAAATTCTACACGGACATGGAGGGTACGATGAAAGGACCAAGGGGACAAGAGGTGAACTTACAATGCTGGAAGCAGAGAGTTGTTATTTGGGGTTAAGAAGGAAAGCTGTGGGACATTGAACTGCAGGAAATCAAGGTTCAGTAGTTCTGCTCCTCAGGGAACAACTTGTCTTCAGAGCTTGACAGTATTGCATTGTGGTTAAATGTGTCTGGAGGGATTGGTTTAATGCTAGCATGATATATGGATCCCTTACAGATACTTATCTTGGAGGTTGTGAAGGGGTTCAGCTAGCAATGGCAGGCTATAAATGGGGGAGGAGAGGGATGTCAAGCTTAACAGTAAGGAGGAAGGAAAAACTGAAATAATAAATATTGATTTGGAGTATGTCACTTATTATCTCTGACTGAATAGGAAGATGTTATAATGATGTGATATTTATGTGAACCATAAATTATCCACATGAAGCTCTTCTGCATTGGTGTTGACTAATCAACGAACCATTCTGGGGATGGTTGGCTTTACTGTTCATTCAACAGCTTGAGTTTGTTATCGTATTTCATTGTATTCCTGTAGCCTGCACATTTTTATTAGTTTATAGAGATTTGTGGGATGCATGCCCTGGATGCAGAGAAATCACTTTTACCAGGTGGTTTCAGTCAGTAAGAGACTTGTCCTGACTCCAGTGATCCTTTGGTCTGTTCCCTATTGTACCAAGTTGTAAAGCTGAAGAGAGATAAGTAAATCCTGATGACAACAGACATTTTACTAAGTTAAAACCTTTCATGTGGATTTTGACCACATAATATGCTGAAAGTGAGTTGTGAAGCTAAGCCAAGCATTGGATATGCAAACTGAGTGTTGCATTAACCTATCAGTGAGAAGCGCTTGGGATAACAGATGTAATTTTTGTACCTGAAATTTATTTAGACTTCATCCCTCTCTGACATCACTTTTGTGGGTGCCCAGGGAATTTGCTGTTACTAAAGGTACATGTGAAATACTTCCAAGAGGGGATGACTGCAGGAAAACAGGGTGGTGTCCGTGACCTACAGCTTCTTCCCAAGAAACCTTAAACAGCATTGGAACAAAAATGGAAGTGTGGGCTGCACCAGGAGGTTGCAGCTCTGTAGAGGACACAGGTTGTTGGCTTCATGGAGCCACACAGGGTGTGTGTGCTCACCCCATTTTGTCTCCTTTCTGGGACCTTGGGGTTTCATCTCCTCATGTGCTCCCACACGAAGTGGACAGTTGGTGATTAGGAAAAGTGAACAATTTGACACCACAGCTTGACACCACCTACTCAAAACCTCCCATAACAGAGATGCAAAACTTGGCTCTGACCCAATCTGTCCTTGTCCCCCACCAAAGTCTCAAACCAGGAGCTTCCCTTTAACAGGGAGTGTCCACTCTCCTGGACATGCAGCTCAGGACTGCATTTCTCTGCATTCAAACTGAGGTGCTAACGTTTTAAGACAGAGGATTACATGTTCAGACACTTCATTGCTTCAAATTCGTTACAAAGCCATGCTATTTTTGCTTATAAAGTGTTCCTATTTTTGTTTATAAAGTGTTCTTCATAAGGAACAACATGGACAGTAAGATTAATTGTTCAAAAAACATTCCCCGAGGGAAAAAAAAATATTAACGTGGCAACTTGTGGTTCTTAATACATAGATCAGATGGAGGAAATGTTAGTGATGGTAGGAATACCAAGTTTTTCCCATTCCAGAGTCAAGAAGGAGAAGTCATCCAAAGAGCCAGTGCAGATGTTCACCACATGGTCATGTCTTTTTCTGTGGTCTGGTGAACAGATCATATTGGACCAGTACTTTCTTTCTTAATCAGATGTCAGGGCCTTAGTTGCATATATTGAAGGGGATATATGAAAGTTACTTGTGTCTCTTAGAGTGTTATTTTGTGCTACTTGCAGAAAGACATGGTGGGTTTAGGGTACATCTGTGTTAGTATTTATTTATGTGTAAGCCACCCAGATACATTTTTGTCCTGTTTCCATTTTTTTGGAAAACCTTTGGTCAGGTTCAGCAAAGATAGTGCTATTCTGAGATGAGCCTAGCCAAGTCTGTTAAAATTTGGGATATTTTCTGATTTTGATAGCTTTTCTGTCCTACAGGTTTTTGGCAACAGGCTGACTGAAGGATGCCCCTTCACCTGCTCACAACCTGTGACCTGCAAGAGGATTTCCTTTCACATTTTCCACTTTAAGATTGCACTTTTGCTTACTCAGCATAGGCTGTGAGGCTCAGGCCATCTCTTGACTCTGTGCAAAGTGTGTGGAAGCCGAGAAAGTACATTCACTTCTACTGAGTTACCTGAATAGTGCAAGCAAAGTCCTGAATTGGGCAGGGGCTCTGTGACTCCTGCAGGCCCCTCTCCCAGGCGGGGTCTGGCAACAGATCCATGACCAGGCACCAGCCCAAGCCTAAGAGGGCGTGAATCCTTCCCTCTGGTAGTGGAAAACACTGCTGGCACAGCAGAAATCAGCTATTGTATCTGTGTGCACAGGAGGGGAACACAGACAAAGCCGATTTACTGGTGCAAAACTGGATTGCATCATTGGCAATAAAAAAAAAAAGGGATGTTTTCTTTTGTTATAGACCATTTTTTTTTAATGTCTATGACATTCCATTTTTACTATTTCTTCTCTCAAATTTGTAAATTCTTGTATTTTTTTATCCTGTTTACTGTGAAATTGTGTGCATGTGAATCTGTCTTATGATGTAATTTGCATATACTCTGTTGCATGGGCCAAGGAATGTGCTGATTGAAGACTTTGAACATGAAACACATTTGAAGGGTTTGATTTTGCATGATGTGTGAAAATCAGATCCCTGTAAAGTTCCACATGTTAGATATCTAAAGATGAGGGCACGCAGAATCAGTTACCACCTAAATATGTATTTCTCCTTACCAGATTTCCTCAATTAAGAGGAGACACTGCAAGAGGTAAATTATGGGGTTTAAGTTATTTTCCTTTATTAAAGCATTGCTGACTATTTAGGAAGGGTTGTTTCTACTGATGCTCTTTGCTGTTGGGACTCCAATGCAAATAATCAGTGTCTGCCATAGCTGGGATTTTTTCTGAATGTTCTGTCTGACTCGACATGGCTTCTCAAAAGGAATTTTTGTAAACTTTTAAAAACACCAGACTGATTGTTTTGAAATTTTAACAGTGTCAAATATTTCTTCGAAACTTGGGACAGTAAAATGAAAGCTGAACAGGCACCTCTGCCCACACAAGCAAATTCTTTTTTGCATTTTCAAGTATTTCTGCTGGTAGTTGCTATTGAAACTTTGAAAAGTCTTTTTAGTGCTTGAAGTGTGACACAAAAGAGGGACTGTTTAATTTTTCTTTTTCAAAGATGAGGAAATTTCAAAATTATTGAAAGCAATAAAGAGGAAAATGAAAAGGAAGACTAGAACAATTCTGATGTTATCAATTTTACAGCATAAGTGTGAAAAGGAAAGTGGAAAAAAGAAGAAAGACTCTCTCTGTGTACATATCTTGATTTTGTCAGGTTGCATACTTGAATTTTTTTCCCAAAGATTCTGATTTGCAATAAAAGCAATTTTTCTTTGAAATCCAAACTTTAATTTTCAGGTAGTTTTGAGAATAAATCTGACTCGGTTTTTCTGGAAAAAAAAAAATCCCTTCTATATGTATGAAGTGAATTGTCTTTTGATGTCTAAAAAGTTCTACCTTTGGACAGTTAAATTAGAAATAACTAATAGTATCTTAACTGATTAGTCTGTGGTTCCAACAATCCTCCCTCTTTGAGTTACGAGAGAAAATTAACTAAACTTGCTTGCTGGAAATAAGTATCTTGTGCCTATTCCTGTAAGCCAAGACTGTCATCTGCAAACATGAATAAAGACTATTAATGTTACACACATTGAATTTTAAGGAAATTTCTTGCAATATGTGAAAGCAATCGTATGAAAATATGTTTGCAGGTTGAGACTGTATTCTCCCCCAAACATATAATGCAGTTTCCAGGTGGTAGCTATCTGATATTATGTCTATTTTTGTTTTAACACAAAGAATACTCAGCAGCAGAGTAATATTGCTCACTGCCTTTCCCTTCTAATATTGTTCATGGCAAAAATCCAATTTATGCAGTGCAAATAATCATTATTTCCAATAGGCTGAGGATCTTTCCTGGCAAGACCATAACCAATGCCTTCTACTCCTACTTATGTCATTCATGATATTCCAGTGATGTGACATAGCATACAAAATCCATTACCCATGGAAGGATTGTGGGAAGGGGGTGGAGGGGGGGGAAAGAGAAAGCAGGGAACATACCTAGTGCTGCAGAGCACAGGGAATTAAAAGCAAACAGCAAAGCAGGTGGAAAAAATACGACAAGGAAGCTTAACACATTGAAGAAGTATGGAGGGTTTGTGGACCTGGGGAAGCCCTGGAATTGGTGGCCTAGTGGCATCGTTCAGTCCCCACATCATTGTGGGGGAGTCAACTATTGTTAAACAGCACCTTTATGAGGGCTTTCCTACAGTCTCAAGCCCCTTCCTAGACTGCTTTTGAGGTACAAAGAAGGGACTTCAGCAGCAATCCCTTTCTCACCTGGAAGCCCACAGAGACTCGGTGCCAAGCACAGCTCTGTGATTGTCTTTTGCAAAAAGACTCCAGCAGGATGCTAAAGCAAAAGCATGTTTTCATCACTGACTTTGCGAATGGGAGTGACTCATGTGCCATCTGTTTTGTCCCTCCACCGATCATATGTGCTCCCTGTTTGTGCTGGTTAATGCATTTGCCATCTATTAAAGGGAGAGGAAACTTTGGAACAGTCAAAACAAACACGCCTGAGAAAGGCTGAAGTTTTGAAAGGGGCTGGTTGGAAAGCCAATGCCACTCTTACTTCCCATTGAAACATGAATTTCTGGGGCAAGAACATGCCAGGTGGCAACTCACTGACATCTGACAGCGGGACAGGGATTTCTGAGTGTCTGGGGGATGTTTGATTATGTGAAGCAGAGACTGGCAGAGTGCACTAAATGCACCATGTCATGCCTGGGCTGGCAAACCCTGCTCCTCTGTGCCTGTTGTTCTACTTCAGAGTCTGAGGGGGACTCTTCATCCTGGAAGGGAGAGGACCGAGTGGGAACTGTGATAGCGTGGATTTGTGAGCAGTACAGAGAAGGGGAGCAGGAATTGCTCCAAATTGTGTGGAGGAGACGATTCAACCATTGTAAAAACTGGGGGAGAGGGGAGCAATACCTGAATAGGGCAGTTGGTAGGTTCAGAAAAGCCAAGGAGCCACTCAGTATTCATCTGAATGGTGGGACTTGCTGCAGGTCGCTGAAATCTTACCCGGGGCTTCAAAGGTGCTTGAATAAATGAACGGAAAAAATTTCCATCAGGAGCCCTAAGATACAGTGACAGCACCTCTGGCTCATTCTGCAGCGTAAACTCTGCGTGACGTTGGCACTAAAACCTGGACTCCAAATTACTAAGCCTTGTAACAGACTCAAAAGACCAATGCCAGAATAAACTGGAAAATTGGATTACTGGTGCCTTGGTCATGCACGGGCTGAAATTTTGCCACATTTTTCCTCTGAGGTTCTGGTGTTCAGTTAAAGAGCCCACCAAGATGGCAACAGCCCCATCTGAGGAGAAGGGCTGTGCTGGGGAGTAGCCAGAACATGGCACATTCCACATGTTTTCCTGAATACTAACATCACCATAATATGCTGGTGACAGTGCTTTCTAACAGGACATTAATAGATGGTATATTTGTAGGAAAATCAGTAACAACTTGAGCTCTTCTTAAGCATAATATCATGACAGTAGGCAAAAAGCATGACCAGGGCCAAGGATTGACTTAGTAGAGCACAGCCTGCCCAAGGAGCAGCCTTTCCTCAACAAACACCATCTTTCCCTCAGTGCCTTCCTGTCACGCGCTTGTACATCATCCCTCCCAGGTTTTAAGATTTTGTATACAAGTATATTGTGGCAGAAGTGCAAGACATGCTGTGTGAATGTGTTAAAAATATATCTTGGTTTTCCTGTCGTTTCAGGTCCTCCTCAGTGGGCAGCCTGACTCGGTCACATACGACACCCCACAAAGAGCTTGCAGGTTTGGTGACATAGTTTCCTCCTCCCAGCTCAAGCCTAGACATGAGCCAGGATGTGTCACTGTCTTGCTCTAAGTGGTTTATGTTTCTCCTTAATCAGTGAAAATGTTACCTACCTAAATGAGAATGAGGAACAAACTGTACCTATCACCAGAAAAGCTCCCTAGAAAACAGTTTCCAAACATATGCATGAGGTAATGAGCCTGTTTCCCTGACTATGTGTCACAGCACTCTGTGCTATTCTGGTTGTGTTTCACAAGCTGGCATTGCTTTTTATTACGCTCTCTCCTGGTCTGCTCTGAGTCAGTCAGTCTGCACAGTCTCAGGCTCCTTTAGTGAGAAACCACAGCTACGCCAGGCAGCTTCTTTCAGCCCCACACCACGCTTCTGGATGGAGCACGACTCTCAGCTCTACTTTTTCATTTTTCCCTTTCCTATCTCTGGCTGTGTCTTCTTGCAGCATGATACGAAACCCTTTGTAATGGGGAAAGGTGCACAAACCATCCCAGTGTCCCTCTATCCATTTCCTTGCCAGGAACAGCAGCCACAGACACGCAGTTGGTGTCATTCAGTACAAGTAAAAAGTGCCTTCAGAAAATAAGTGCAAGGTGTTATTCAGAAAGCTCAACCTTTTGCTTATGAAATCTTCGAGATCTCCTTATGCATTACATCAGATTTCTCAACAGTTTACAAATCTTTTTTTTTTTTTCCTCCCCCCCTCTGGAAACGTTTGTCACAGTAGATTATTTTATTCAGTGCTGCTGTACGTAAAATGCAGAATGTTAATACTTTATTTGGCTAAACATGCATAATTCGGGAAGACAGGTGAAGTGATGGATTAATCATCAGGCTTTTAACTCTCAGTCTTGTTAGCTGCATTTTTAAATGTTGTTTATTTGAAATTACAGTGTGGGTATGATGTCTAAGTGGAAGCTTAAATTAAAGCTGCTTTTGCTTTTGGTAATAAGCTAAAGGATTGATTTAAAATCTGTCATTTTCCCTCATACCTGGATGTTCAGATAGACTTATCACAAATAACTCAGTGGCAAAGCTACAGCTATTGCATTTTCCTTCTGCTTTCTATGAATGTCTCTAAGCCTCGACCTACAGAACTTTTCCTACTTATTGTAGGAAGGTAATTTTACAGACAAAAAAAATTACGGACATATGGAGACATGGCTATGAGTCTTTGGCACAGAAATAAAATGAATCCAATTTTGCTGCTCTCATTGAGTGGGGAAATCACCCTTTATACAATTCACATCTGTCTGAAGTCACCTTCTTCAGTGTCTATTCATAGATTTTGTGCTCAAGACATCTCAACTTCAAAAGAAATTCTTCTTATGACAGCACACAGTATTGTCTGGGAAGATAGGGGTATTCCTGCTTTGATTTTGTGCTGTGGAAGAGAGAGGTGAATATTAGTTTTGTCAGAACGGCAGTTGAACCAAAAGAATGGAAAAATGTTTGTCTGATGATGAGCCAAAAAGAGTATTTTTAAGGGTATGTTAGTGAAGTTTAAATGCTTTACTTTAAAAAAAAAATTCTCATTTTGGGAGTATTTAACCCTTTTAACCTTTTTCTGCTCTAGATTTGTTTAGGTAAATAGTGTTATTTCAGAGTAATTGCTTGCTTTGTTGTCAGAGAGAACATGTAGGTATTTCTGAAACGAAACACTGATCAAGCAGCATCCAAACACTGTGTTTTGGTGTAATAGTCCCAGTACTTTTCCAGCTCTGTTTCACAACAAACTTTTTAATTCCCAGGGATGTTTTGCCCAGTTGAGGCAGAGGCTGGTCTGGGTCAGTCAAAGACAATAAGCAGAAAATCCTTCCTAAAAGAGTTAGAGATAAAAGAGTACTTTGAGAAGCAAATCCTTCTTCCTTGACCGGTGCTGGAGGGAAGCTGTTGATTAAATGGTCTTTAGTGATGCTGGATGATGCTCTGCTATATTCTACTCCTGGGAACTAGCATTTATTATCTTTCAGATCTGAGGAGAGGTACAAAAGACCTGTGTTGCTAATTGGTGTAGCAGCTGGCATATAGTTATTTGTTGCCAGAGATGTGCACTTTGCATTTAAGGGTTCTAACGTTTCAATTTCATTTGTGACTGCACTGTCTAGAGGCAAGAGCTGTGATGTCTGTGTTCAAGCCCAGGCTGTTCACAGCACTGAAGATTCACCTTGCCTGCCAGAGTATATTTCCCCACCCTTGGGTAATATAATTACCCTGAATAAGGAAAGGAAGTGTGAGGAAATCAAGCTGAGCCTCACAGCAGCTTGGGGACATGATGCTGGAGCATCCCTCTCACCACTGCCAGTGCATCCACCTCAGCTGATGTCCACTTCAGCATGGCTTTGACAGGAGAAACTCGGGAGAACAGCATTTTCAGGAGTAAAACAGGAGATGAGAGCTTGCCAGCGTTTATCATCTGACAGTAAGTAAGTAAACAGGTTGCCAGCAACATCTCAGATTATCTCCTCTCTGCTTGGGACTGTTTCATATTTCAGTTGCGCTTGTGATGGAAGAGAAGAACTTGTGCATATTTTTATCTTCAGCTTTCACATTGAGAGTGTTTTTTGTTCCAAGACACTGCGGTGCTTGTAGCTGGACTGGGCTGGAAGGTTTTGGGGTCCAGTAAAGGACTTCTGAGGAGTCACATCGTTGTGAGACCACACAGACACCATTATACAGTGTAAGAGCATCACCTCCAAGGCAGCTCAGACACGCCCTCTTCCAGAGCATGTGGTTTGATCCTGCCACCATTTGCCTTCCTTGGAAGAATTTCTTCTGAACTGCCTTTTATCTGTTTTTCTCTTTCTAAATTGCCGTTGTAATTGTTCATAGTTGGCTGTGTTTAGTTTGTACTTCTACAGCTTTCCTGCACTGAATAACCACCGTTTTATTTTAATTATCGCAACACAATAAGAAAAAGAATTGGGGAGAAAAGAAATCAGCTGTGAAACTACCTATTCATAGCATTGGTTTCCTGTATCTACCAACAAGTTTTTCGTTTGCCTAGATAAAGGTATTTTATCCTACTCACTTGTTTTCTTGCATCAGAATGCTGCTTTCCTTCCTTCCTTCAACTCTTCTATTTATGCAATATTCCTATTGCAATTTAATGAACTAGAAGAGGAACTGTTCAAGCTCAGTTTTGCCCTAGTCTGAACCTCTGTACTTTTTGGAGGACAGGATTTCTTGGGTAAGTGGATTAGTGTCTGTCTTTGTGCTGCCCAGGGCTTCATCAAATTGCTGCTAAAATCATAAGAGATAAAATCTTTGGCAGTTAAAACTGCATATTTTTGGTACTGCTGCCTTTTGCATAACACACACTTGGGACCTCTAGTTGTTATCTGGAGTCTGAGAATTTTATCGGATTTATTTTCAGATTTGTAATAAAGGGATGGACTCCCTCTGGGAAGCAAGTTTATTGTCACCCTCAATGGCCTGTTTGTCACTGTGCACAGGAGGATTTTAAATCTGCGCTTTAGAAGATAAGAATGAATAGAAATTCTGCTGATTGTGCTCCCTTTGGCTCCAGGATTTTGTCCAGACATCTGAGCTGTAGAAACAGGGAGACAGAAGCAGATTGACCGCGTGGTTTTATCAACCACTTCAGTGTGCAGCGTTCTGAGTGAAACCCTACGTTACTCCTGTTCCACATCTGCTCCCTGGCCTCACTCGTGCGCTGCTCTGAGCTTTGCTGCAGGAAACACGTAGCACAGTGTTGATCACAAACATTACTGCAGACTCTTCTATTTAGCCAAGAGCAATTGCAGAACGGGACTGTGTCTGCCAGACAAACACATGGTCCAGGTCAGAAATAGGTTAATTAAAAGGAGATAAGCAGGGCAGGAAGTCCTGAAATAGATAATATTAGTTGGCATGATCTTGACTTTGAAACTTACTTAATAGTTTTCCTTTTCAGAGAGTTTATTTATGTTGTAAATCTTATTCTTTTGGGCAAGGAGGAGAGGAAATGTGACTAAATGAGATTAAACAGCTTTTAATTCACATTTTTTCTCTTTCCAGCTGCATGCCTGCTACTCCTTGTGTTGAGCTCAGTGCACTTGCATTCAGTGGGGACGCAACCAGAGCCTGAATAAATAATTGAATGAAGTTCAGTGGAAAGTGCTCCATGTGGAATTTCAGAATTGTGATGACACTGGATGCAGCAAACTCTCATTTAACATGGGCAAAAGACTATGTGGGCTAAAGCACAAGCCTGTACATTTGCTTAATTAAAGTTCCTAGAGACAAGGCAATGGAGAGGGATGAGGAAGGAAGGGAAGGAAGGAAACCTGTGGCAGCTCAAAGCATTTTGCCTGAGAAGGACAAAAGGCTGCATCAAATCTCTCCCAAGTCCTGTCACCTTTTTCATGGGCGAGATTTGTGCTTGCAAATCCATAGCCAAAGAGTTACCTCATGGCTTATGCAGGCACCCACACACAAATTTCAGGTCTTGTTCACCTTATTCACCCTTAAACTCACTCATTATAGTGGGATCAAGTCCCCCTAAGAGAGAGAACATTTGTGTTCTGAAAGTGGAAGGTGCCCTTTGGTGACACAGCTAGCTGCCTGTAGATGGCCTATACAGGTGGCTCAAAAATCATTAGAGAAAGCTACTAATGAACGTAATTTTCAAAGTGCACCTTCAGGGAGCTGCAGCACTGGAGCAGCAGCCACCTGTGGTGCAAGGGCCAGGGATGCAAACATCAAAGCACGTGGTGCATCTGCATCAGGCTCTCAGGACACTGAAGAACACCAATTCACAGCCTTGTCAGGCCTGACACAGCCTTGTCAGGATGTAGCTATGCTGACTGGGATGTCAATACTTTCTGAATTGGATAGGCTTATGTAGCTCACTGAGACAACGAAGAGATGCTGACTGCCTGGTTGCCAAATTCAGCTTTCCTTCCGTCATAGATCTTTTGGAATTGAAGTTGAGACTGCAAAACTCTAATTCCTCCAGCCGCAAAAGAAGAAAAGAGTTTATTTTCTCTAGAAATCAGATCCTCTACGAAATGAACTTCCCAGGAATTTTTGGCAGTAAGTGGTATGTTTTTCACCGAGTTGCATTCTTCACATATTGACTGTGCTTCCCATGAAATTACAAATACATTTAACATTAAATTGGCCAAATTTCACTATCAATTTTCTGATTTTCGCCTTTGAAGAAGGATCTTACAATGCTTAGTGATTGGGCAATAAGATGATAGAAGAAATTCCATGTCAATAGATGCAAAATGGTGCATATGGGGGAAAAAACACTTTAGCTACATACAGAATGAGAGTTTCTAAATTAGCTTCTGATGTTCAGGAAGGAGATTTGGGAGTCATTACTGACAAGTCCCTGTGAAAATCAGTTCATTGCTCAGCGGTGATCAAAAAGATTATTAGGAATTGTCAGGGAAAGAATAGGGAACAAACAGAAAAAATTAGTTATGCTACCACATAAATTCATGATTTATTTTTATTCTGCATATTGTGTAGTGAACTCATCGCCACAGCTTGGAATGGAGAGCTGAAAGTGGCCCAAAAAAAGGAAGAAGCAGGCTCAGTGAATGGAGTGACTTTCGTGTGAGAAAAAGCAAAATATACTGGGTATTTTCATCTTGGGGAAGAGATGAAGCCTGATAACATCATGAATGGCAATGGGTAGCTGAGGAAAGAGATTAATTATCATTCCTGACGATATAAGAATAAGGGCTGATGAAATAATCAGCTGGGCGTTTAAAAAGGGAGCACTTCATCACCCAGCATGTGGTGAAGTTGTGCAAGTCAGGGCCACGGGATATTATGGAGACCAAAATAATAAATGGGTTCAAAAGCTGATGGGGCAGTTTGGCAGGGGATAAGGTCATCAGTTTCTGTTCAAAATTATATTGGGGATGAAACCCCAGAAGTTACTATGTCACCAGGAGCAGGGGAGGGTCACTCAGTGCCTGCATTACTTCTCATATGCTTGAGTGTTTCCTTCTGACCACACTCAGGAAATAAAGCCAGGTGAGTCCTTGCTTTTCAGTATGATGACCATATGGATGTTCTTCTGCTATGTTTTTAAAATATATGACTGAGGTATTTATTTTTATTTTTAGGCTTTTCCACATCTTCCATCACCATCTCACGTGGGAGACCTAAAGGTTCCAGTGTTTGTGCCTCACAGCTCCTCAAAATGTCAGAGAAACAGACAAATCTCCATTTACAAGGGGGATCTCTCCCCTAGGGAGGGTCTACTGGGATGGGAAAGGCCCTGAGGGACTGACAGCCACCTTCTTCCTCCCTACACTCTGGAGAAATGGCCATGCAGCACCTTGCCATGCCAGCCCTTCTCCCAGCAGCCCTTCCAGAACTTGCTGCCTCTGGGCTGCATCCAGTCCTCATGACTAAGGCACAGTGAGAGAGGAAAATAAAACCCCTCAGTGCAGCAAAGCCTTCAAGTCCTTAGTAAACACTGAAGTGAAGCCTGCGTGGCTTGGTCAAAATCCAGCAGCACATCTGTGGAAGAGGTGGGAGCTGGATCCAGCCCTTTTCTGACTTGGATAGTAACCTGTAATTACAGTTGTCAGACTGTAAGACACCTAATATATCCTTCTTAAGTATTCTTTTTTCTCTTGGTGTAACTTTTTCTTGCATCCAGCATGCTGTAATTCTGGGTTTTTCCCTTTATAGCAGTTAGTTTCTCGGCACAGTCCCTGACCACAAATACTTTTGAGTGGAACATCTGGTTCTAATGTGGGCTCTAGAAACGTTACTTTCTGCAATATTCCATTTTTCTCCCAAACAATATTTTTCCTCTCGTGTTTGCCCAGAAAAAGCTTGTAAGCTGATCAATGTCTGAAGCTACAAAGGGTCCATTTGAGAACAAAGGCTCCAAAAGCCACATAAATGATTTCCCAGAACTCGAGGCGGTTGCAGGGGAGATAGTTTGCAGATCAGTCGTGCACATGGGAACTCTGCAGGGTTGCCTCCCTCTTCTTTCTCCATTCTACCTCTCCCCACCAGCCCTACCAGTAACCATAACTGCAGAGGCATTCTCAGCTTGTTTCCTCGCTGGTGATCTCACCTAACTTCTTGTTTTTTGGTTCTCCTTCACTTCTAGCCAAACCCATTCAAATGTTCAGAGGAGGAAATGCTGCAACCCAGCTGCTTCTGTTGTTTCTCACTGCCATTAGAGCTGCTTTTTCAGAATTACAGGCTCAGGAGCTGTCCTGCACTATGTGAGTAAACAAACCTTCACCTCCTTAGAGGGGGAGTAGTGGTCTGCATGAAAGAGGCTGTGTACCCAGTCAAGTGGAGATACAGGATGAAGCAGGAATGTTTAATTTACTTTCAGGCCTGGGAAACACGAAAAGGCTGCTGAACTCCGGAGAAAACTCTGGCACTCTTCTGGTATGTTTGCAATACAGATGATGTAAATAATATATGGCTCCTGGAAGGAGTGTAGGAATATATAAAGTTTTATGTAGGGGAGCACTGCACGCATGTGGGAGATTCAGCTGCAGCTACAAATCACGGGCTGGGTGCCAACCAGTGAAATGGTGCCCACAGTAAACGAGGCTCGGGGACCGAATTACTTAAGTAATTAAAGTCGATTGTGACTCACATGCTGAAAGGGTAAATTGTGCACTGCCACAATCCACCAAGTTATTTAATTTTGGAAAACCAAAGCTCCTTGGTGACGGGGGAGGAGGATTTATTATTCTATTATTTTATCTCTGCAAGCCAAGCTGTAGGCAAATATGATCATGGTTTTTAAGAGTTTGCCTGAGCAGGACTGTCTTGCTGGAAAGCCACTTCATCATTACCATAAGGCATGGAGAAATAGAGCATGATTCAAGCATGTGAAAAAACATAGCTTAATAATTTTAAATCCTTTAGGGCTTTTGCTGTTGAGAAATGAACAAAGCTATGCATACTTTGAGGAGCCTGCTGTCCAGCTGTGTCTGGCTGGCAGCTGTGCAAGGTGGAGCTTCCTCTGCTAAAGTGCTCCCACCCATCTCAGGGTGGGCACAGGAGCACCAGATGGAGAAGCCCAGGGTTTCAGCTTTCAGGGACCTGAGGCTGAAACCCCACTTGCCTCCCAAAAGCCTATCCCCTAGATTTCTGTGTTCTGCAAACCTATTAGTTTGCTTTCTGGACTTGGAGATTTGTTTTTCCAATTCTTTGTGGCACACATAGGTTTGAGCTGCCCTGTCTCTCTCCACAGCCAGTGTACCAAACCCCCTTTCTTCTTAATTAAAAAACAGAGGGTAGAAGAGAAAGTCCCAAATCAGCTCCCATTCTAGTGAAAGGTGTCCCCTGAAATTTATAATGAGATAAACTCTAAGATTGCTTCCAACCCAGACCATTCTGTGATTCCCAGTTCACCCTTTTCATAGTATTCCTCCCTCCTCTCAACCCAGAGAATACACCTAATGTCTTTTTCAGTGTTAGAGTCTGCAGCTATTCTTTTTTTTTTTCCTCTGCTCATCCATCCATTTAATGCTTAGCATGACCATGAATATTTGCCATATGGGCCTGTCTCTTGATATTTTAATCTGCCCTGAGTTTTGGGTCAGTAATAAGCAATAAGAACAATTATAAAAAAAATTTGTCACACTTGAAATAAAACAGAATTATTTATTTTATTCCTCCAAGGCCATATTCTTAATATAGCTTCTTGGACACCTGAGAAAACGCTTATACTGAGATTTTCCTCTGACTGTTGAAATGATGCCAATAGGACAGAGATTCCCTCTTTAACCATTTGCCTGCTTCTCATGCCGTTTAACACACAGCAAATATGATGAAACAGAGGAATATTATTTGTGTTACTGAAGGTCAATGGAAATTTCAATAATTTTAGAAAAGGTGTGTGGAAAACTAGCTGGCTGGGATAGTTGCACCAGGGGGACCTTGGCCATTTCGCATAGAATCAAGCAGCCTCTTTGAACCCTCCCCAGAAATATCACTCAGCTTGAAATCTTGTCTTTGGTGGAGCAAAACTGCTGCTGTGCTGCACCATCCCCTTCCCCTGGCTGTTCCAAGAGCAGGGTGGCTGGGGAAGAGCTTTCATTGTGATGGAGAAAACCAAGGGGATTGGCTGAGACAGCTCTGAAGGAGGAAAGATGCCACATTTTGGTGTTTTCTGAGTCTGCATGACCTTCTCTTCAATATCAATAATCCAACAGACAGCTACAAAGCAGGCACTGACTTTATCCACTGCTTTTTCAGGTGATCACAGGGGTCACAGCCCTGGGTAACCCCTTCAGTGCAGCTGAGCTGGGATCTGACCTGGGGTTCACGCACAGCAGGGAAACACCACGAGGGGTGGGCTGCTGCCAGCACCTTCCCAGGAAATGCTTCTCAGAAGTCAAAGGGATCAGGTTAGAAACTTAAACAATTTAATCACCGTCTTTTGCAAGAAATGCTTCCACAGATAATTTTGTCCTCGTTTGTTAAAACTACTCTTTGATCTGAAAAGGAAAAATCCTTTTTTATAGGAATAGTGATTTCTGGAAAAGGTATTTTGAACTCATTTAGATGTAGCTGGCAAATTTTAATTATAGATGAACACTTGCTTTAGCACTTTTTAGTCATATTTTACTCCTCTGAAAGTGTGGTGGGTCTGAGTCAGCAGGATGCACAGCTGACTCCAGCCTGGGGAGGAGGCTGGGCAGAGCAGACTCTGCAGCCTCCAGATGTTCTGCACTGTTTTCCTTCCAGTGGCCTTGTGCAGCTCCCTTGGAGAACTAGGTGACACACAGATTAAGATTATTCTTTTTCAGAAGGGAGAATCTAGATAACAAAAATGACTAGGAAGACTACAATTTCTTCAGGTCTGATTCAACAGCATCTGCTTCACTTAAGGCACTGAGAGATTACTGAAATAAGGCAGGTGTCCAGGTTTCATTGAGGAAAATATTTTAGGCTGTTTTCACAAGGAAGAATAGCTGAGAGAGCAAAGTTGGATTATTTTGAGGGAAACGGCACAAATCAAAACAAAGAAAACACACAAAAAAAGAAGGGAGTGTGATTTTGGTGTCAGTTTTTAACTCTCCTTTTTTGAGCAGATTAGGGGTTGGTGTTCTGGACACAGATGTAAAAGACTGACATTTTGGAAGGAAAGGAAGTGAAAGGAAGAAGGAAATCTGCACCTAGGGTACAAAAACAGGGGTTTACCGTGCCATGGAGGGGTGGAAGCAGATTTATCTCTCTCCAGCCTCTCTCTAAAAACACAGTGTATGCATGCTATATCCACATGCTCTTAAAACACTAGAGGTGCATATATTTTTGACAAAAGTTTAGTTATTTTACCTGTCATTGTGATTTATGCTTCTTAGAAAACACAGAGCTGCAGCTGGAAGAAAAAAGCCACTTGGCAGGCTATTGCCAAACAAACAAAACCACAAAATATAGATGCCAAACAGCTTGTATACAAACAAAAGGAGCAGAAAAACAGCCTCATCCCCCTTTGATGCATCTACATGCTTTTATGAAAGAATATGTACCTGGCTTTTAACCTCCTTTCAATCCTTCTGAAGACACTGGCTCCATTACCATCTGTGCTCAAGGTATTTCCTAACTCCTTCAGGTTTGATTAAGATCTCAGTTTACAGAAATAAATGTGTCCTAACTATGTGAACAACTCTGGAACTGGCATTAATTTTAAGTGCTATCACATATTTTGAACAGCTGAAATACTGTGAGATGGAAAGCATCTGCCTGGGCAGGGACTGTCAGTATTGTCATAACTCAGAAATGGCCCTTTCTCAAGTCAGTCAGGACTGAAACCCCACGTCTTGGTCATGGAGCACCTGCTGTTACCTCAGCCCTATGAGGGCACCCCCTGGAGCAACCTGATTTTGGGGCTCCCAGGTGGTGGGTTGGGGAGGCTCCTCAGGAACCTGCGATCACAGTAAGTGCCCAATATTTAAGGACGTAACTGTCACACAGCTTTAAAAGCCCTGTGGCTTTTTGAAAAAGTACACGAGGAAAGAAATAAAATTCTGTGGGTTTTGTTAGAGAGGGAAAACTCATTTTGTCTACTGTGCAAGCATTTAATCTAATGCAGGCTGCCGAACTGCACACCAGGAAGATAGGACAATGGAGAAGTGCAGGGGGCTGGTAGCAGCCAGGAAGGTGTCTGGGGCTGCCTCTTGTCATTCCTAAATTCCTCTGCTGCCATGTTCCCCTGTCCTTGAGAAGGTCTGTGAATGGCTTATCAAAGTGGTTTTTTCAGTCCTCTCTAAACCAGATAATTGCTGAAGAAAACAATTTACTGTCCCAGCTGGCCAAGCTCAGTTCCCGAGGCTAAAGACTCTCTGATGGCTCTGGGTGCTCCCCACTTGGTGTTTGCTGAGCCATCAGTTCCCCACGCTAGAACCAATGCATATTTAAGACAGGAGATGGCAAGTTTCTTCTCCTCATCCCCCTTTTCACAGTTTCTCACAAACATGTTTAAGCAGGATGATTAGCCTGCACAGACTTGTCCAGGTCTGGAACTGTGAGTACCTGAACTCAACTGTTGGTCCTGTCACAGGACAAATCATCTCCCTTGCCTGCCAGAGTACAAGAACACAAGGCCTCAACTTGGCTGTACATGTTTTCACTAATGTCTTTTGAACATC